GCAGCAGGCAGAGTGGGAGGGAGAAGCAGGCTCTCTGCTGAGCCAGGAGCCAGATGTGGGACTCGATCCCAGGACCCTAGGATCACGACTTGAGCCAAAGGCAGCCGCTTAACAAACTGGTGTCCCTCTCATCAAATAAATTTTAAAAATATTTTTTATAAAAATAGGATCCAATTTTTTAAAGAACTTTTTAAAAAACATTTTATTTTTTCATTTGACAGAGCAGAAGTAAGGTGAGGGGCAGGCAGAGGGAGAGGGAGAAGCAAGCTCCCCACTGAGCAGGGAGCCCAATGCGGGGCTCGATCCCAGGACCCTGGGATCATGACCCCAGCGGAAGGCAGATGCTTAAGTTGCTTAACTGACTGGGCCACCCAGGCGCCTGAACCAAATTTTTTAAATGGGCAAAACAGGCCTTCCAAAAAAACAGGATATGCAGTTAGCCAGTAATCAATGTCATTAGATATCTGAAGAACATGATTAAAACCATAACGTAAGGCAAATACAGCAGAACGGTTAGAATGAACAAAGCAAGTGCTGTCATTACAGAGATGCATCCAGGGTCCCAGGAGCACCCCGGTGCGGGGGTGTGCCAGGAGGACCCCAGGGCCCAGCAGACAGTCGTCCCCACGGCCGCATGGGTGGCGGGGGTGGGAGCTTCCAGAGCCCTCTCCAAGGGTGTCCCACAGGACACACTTATTTCCAACAAACGAGACGGGACCATGCGTATGTGCTGTGGTCTCCGGGGGCTGGCAGAGACCCAGCGCCCAGGTTCTCTGTGCGGGTTGGTCTCGTGGGCTCGTCTGCCCGGCTCAGGCCGGGAACCCTGACTCAGGGAGGGGAGCAGGTGCTCAGCCTGAACCTCACGTCCGCACGGATGGTTCAGGGACCCGAGCCCCCCAGCAGTGAGTCTGGCCGGAGCCCACAGTGCAGTCCCAGACGCCGCGGAGGGCCAACCTCGCAAGCTGGCCTTAGACTGCTGTGTTAACTCTTCTGCACCAAAGGGGGAAAACCAGCTCCATTAAGTCCTAAAACCAATGGTTTGCATCCCCTGGGACCCCGACTACAATACGCGCTGTGGACGTCCGCCCAACAGCAACACGTATGAATGACCACCCAGAGGCAAACAGGCGTGTTCAGAGCAGACCTAAGCAAGAGCCAACACCAGAAAGTACCCAAATGAACCACCGTGCCAAAGGCTAGGTGCTCAGGAGTCAGGGCGCAAAGCAGCAGAAGGGAACCCGCGGGGGAGCAGGTCATGGTCTCTCGTGACCGTGAGGGTGGTTTCACAGGTATGTCACACATATGTCAAAACTCACCAAGTTGCACACTTTAATATGTGTCATTCCTTGTATTATGTCAGTTAGCCTCAATAAAGCTGTTAAAATGGTTTTACTTCCAATTTCCGTGATATTTGTTTCCCTCTATATGTGTTCTCCCGTGGATAACTTATTCATCCCCTTCCTATTCTTGTTCTAGCATGTTTGTTCTCTATCAAGTGCCCTGTCTTCTCTTGTCGGCATTTCCTTCTGCTCCATCTTGTTTCTTTTTTTTTAAAGATTTTATTTATTTATTTGACAGAGACACAGTGAGAGTGGGAACACAAGCAGGGGGAGCAGGAGAGGGAGAAGTGGGGTCCCTGGTGAGCAGGGAGCCTGACGTGGGGCTCAATCCCAGGGTTCTGGGACCATGACATGAGCCAAAGGCAGACCCCCAACCGCGCCCCCCCGCCCCCCCCCCCCCCGCCCTGTTTCTTGTTTCCTAAGCCCATTCATAGTGTCTTCCACTAGAGGGTATTTTTGAAGTAGACAATGCAGTCAGATGTGTCAGTTTTTTCCCTATGGTGCCCTGAAGATACCTGCTCATACACAGGTCCTAGAGCCTAGGAAGTTTTCAAAAATGCGTGCTTCTCCGAGCAGCCTCATTCTCTAGATAACTATGAACAAATACTGCGCATCACGAATTCTTCATAGGAAGGTGTCACCCTGTGGGCATTTACCTGGTGTGCACTTATTATAAACCATCTTTTTTGTTGTTGTTGTGAATTATGGAAGCCAGGAAAAGACTCACTATAATAACAAACTGTCTAATAAGAACGAAGAGGCACCCCATATTGTGTGCCTACGATGAGGAAGGCAGAAATCAGCATTAAACGTTAAGAACTCAGAGACAGGTCACACTTAACCTCTGCAAAGCCTGGTCTTCCAGCACCTCCAATACCTGCACCACCTCCAATACCTGCACCTCCTCCAGTCCCTCCTGTTTTAGCGAACAACGCCAGCATCCACCTAATTGCTCAAACCAGAGAACTAGGAAAATTTACCCTGACCCCTCCTACTCCTGCAACCTGCCCAGGCGAACCAGCACCACGTCCTCTCAACTCACCCTCCATCCTGGCTCCACCATCTCCCTGCCAGAGCCCTTATCTAAACTAGTGCCTGTCCTCGCCCAGATGACTCTTAACTGGTCTCCTGCTTCCACTCCTGCTTCCCCACAATTCAGTCTCTACACAGATGTCAGAGTCACCGTAAGAGATAAATTGGATCACAAGCTTCACCTGCTTAACCCCCTTCAGTGAATCGCGCTGCACTCACGGTAACACGCAAACTCCTGAACGTGGCCCGTGGGACTGTCCCTCATCTCTCCCCTCCCTACCGCTTGCTAACATTCAGCCAGCCCAGTCTTCCAGTCCCTCCAACGTGGCAGGTCCTTTTCCATCGTTACGTCAGCTGTGCTCTGCTGCTCCTACTTCTTCCTTGCTTCCTGGCTGGGCTCACACGACTCTTCCACTTCAGAGCTTTTCGTACAGTCTGGGTCCTCAGCCGCAGGGTCTCTCTAAATGTACGGTCGAGGTGTCCACTGGGCAGCAGCCATCTGAAGGCATGCCCAGGATGCGACCCCTTCCAAGACCACCCATGTTGTCGTCGGCAGGATTCCACTCCCCAAAGGGTCTCGGGCGGGAGGTCTTAGTCCCTTGCTGACTACTGGCTGGAGGTCATCCTCAGTTCATTAGCGCGTGGGCCTCTCCAACATCTCAGCTTCCTTCTTCAAGGCAGGCAGGAGAGGTGCTAGGAAGACAGAAGTCAGTCTTTTGTTTGTTTTTTTACTCCATTAGTAATTTTTTAAAAAATTGTGGTGAGATATACATAAAGTTAAACTTACCATTTTAACAACTTTAAGCGCACGACTCAGAGGCATGAAGCACAGTCACCCCGTCCAGCAGCCACCTCCACCCTCCGTTTCCAGCACTTTCCATCTCCCCCCACACGGAGACTCTGTCCCCACGAAGCACGGACTCCCCATCCCCACCCCAGCCCTGGCTCCCACCCTCTCCTCTCTGTCTGTGTGGACGGGACTCCTCTGGGGCCCTTCTGAGAGTGGGGTCCTCTGGGATGTGTCCTTCTGGGTCTGGCTGCTCTCGCTGAGCCCCGTGTCCCCAGGGTCCGTTCACATCACAGTATTCCCTACTTCATTCTTCACAGCTCTCTCCATGACTGGGCCATAGTAGGCTGTCAATAAGATTTTAGTTAACAAATGAATACATTCTTTTCATAACTCTGGTTGCTTTTACAGGACACGGAACAATTTTTTTTTAAAGATTTTATCTATCCATTTGAGAGAGAGAGAGCGCTCATGAGCAGGAGGGAGAGGCAGAGGTAGAGGAAGGAGAAGGAGACTCCCCACTAAGCAGGGAGCCTGATGTGTTACTCAGTTCCAGGACCCGGGATCATCACCTGAGCCGAAGGGAGACCCTTAACTGACTGAGTCACCCAGGTACGGCTAGCTTTTTTTTTTTTTTTTAGATTTTATTTATTTATTTGACAGACAGAGATCACACGTAGGCAGAGAGGCAGGCAGAGAGAGAGAGAGGGAAGCAGGCTCCCCGCTGAGCAGAGAGCCCGACGCGGGGCTCGATCCCAGGACCCTGAGACCATGACCCCCGCCGAAGGCAGAGGCTTCACCCACTGAGCCACCCAGGCGCCACATCTTTTTTTTTTTTTAATGGTACCTTCTCTTTTCTAAATATCATCAATGGTTTTCAGTCTTCATCCTACTTGACGCGTTGGCCGGGTTAACAGTTACCAGATGGTGCGTGCAACACGGCGGATCTGTCACATCTTTGATCAAGACTCTGCGATTGCTCCTTATTTCCCTCCAAAGCCTACCTCCTCTTATCTCCAACCGCACTTCCTGGGGTCCCTGTGCCTTGGCCGCACGGACACGCTTGCACACACCTGCCCCGGGCCCCGGACGCTCAGTCCCTTGCATGTGGAAGGTCTTGCCTCCATGTGCCCACTGGACCGACTTCTCCCCGTTCGTCTCTGCTCGCACTCCTCTGTCTCGACGAGGCTTGTTTGAGCACTTACTTAAAACGGCAGCCCACACGCAGCACCTCCGATAGCCCTTGTGGGTCCTGGGATCCCAGAGCCCCGTGCCGGGCCCCCCACCTGGGTGTTCTTCTCTCCTGCTGCTGGTCCGACCTTGTGAGCCCCGGAAGGGCGGAAAGGGAGCTCTTTATTGGCTCGCACAGGAGCGACACACCGTAGGCAGGGGTGCTGAGCAGATGAATCTGCGACTTAAGCTGGAGGGGACGCCCTGGAGGGACCATCTCTCAGGGGAACGGTCCCGACGCCGGCCAAGCCTCCCTGCGGACGGCATTCAGCACCAGGCGCCCCTGGACAGCTCTGGAGGCCAAGTGCTCTCGGAACCTTTCCTCCACAGTCTGAGTTTCCCACCGGAGCCACCTGCTGGCCGTACCTACCGCTCAGCGAGAGGAAACTACTTTCCCGTGCCGGTAGGAGAGGTGGGGGTGGGGTCTCAGGATGAGTGGCGGCCGCAGCAGCCAGTGGCACGGCGCGCTAGGCCCGTGTCTCTCGGGGTAGCCAATGGACAGGGGCGTGGGCGGGGCGTGGGCAGCCGCGCGCGGAGCCGGGGCTGACCAGGACCGCGGCTGTGGGGTCAGGACCGCGGCTGTGGGGTCGGGACCGCGCGGCAGTTGAGCGGCGGGCGGCGCCGGCGGGCGGGCGAGCGAGGGCCCGGCGGAGGTGCGTGCGGGCGGGGCGGTTGGTCCGGCCGGCTCGGCCGCCCGTTACCGAGGCCCGGCGCCGGCTCCCGGCTCCCGGCTCGGTCTGCGCTGATCGGGCTCCGGGATCCCAGGCCGAGCGCGAGGCTCCCTCTCGGGCGGGGCCGGCTGGGCGCCGCGGTCCGCGGGCGTCGCGTGCAGCGGTGCACACAGGAGGCGCTCAATGGGTGCGGGGCGAGGAGCGAGTGAGCGAGCGCGGCCGCGCGGCCCGGTGTGGAGAGCGCGCAGGCCGCCGTCGCACGGGCCGGGCTTCGGGGCACCGGCGGGTGTTGGCGGCGGCAGCGGCGCACCCGGCTGGGGCAGGACAGACGCCCGTGCCCCGCGGAGCTCGCGGCCTCGAGCGCGGCGCTCGGTCGCGCAGGGGCGCCGAGTTCGAGGCTTTCCCTGCGCGCGAGTGACGCCCGAGCCCCGTGCCAGGCCGGGGGCGGGAGGCGCCCGCGCGGGGACCTGAAGACCCCGCCGAGTGGGGCGTGGGGGCGAGAGTGGGGTCCGGGGACGCAGAACAGGGGAGCCGCCCGGGGCCCTCCCGCAACGGAGCGGTTTCCAGGCTGAACTGCGCCCCGCCGGGGCTCCCTGAGGGGCACATGCTTCAGTGCACCCGTGGGCCTGCAGCGTTCCTGGGCCTCTGTTCCGCACAGGCTGCCTGGTGGGTACGAGGCCTACGGTTTAGGACTGAGGTCGGGGAGGCCCTTCAAGGGGTCCTGGAGGCAGTGACCCTAAAAGACAAGACGTCATCGGGAGGTCAGGGGAAAGATGTATTCCAGGCCACGAAAACAACCTGTGCAAATGCCCTGAGGCAGGAACGGGCTGGACATACTCCAGGACCGCAGAGGCCTGTTGTTGGGGTGGGCGAAGCAGAGGCTGGCCGCGCAGAGCCTTCTACACAGGCCGGAAGGGCAGTGGGGAACCAGTGGGGCGGCACTGCCCAGTAGAACATTCCGCAACAGTGGAAGGGCTCTCTGTCCATGCCAGCGGGTGCGGTCCTCCTGCACCTGTGTGGCCGCTGAGCACTTGAAGTGTGACTGAGGAGCTGGATTTTGCCTTTAATGTAATTGTAATTGATTTAAGCAGACACGTAGGGCTCGTGACTGCGTACCGGACAGCACGGCCGTGGGGAATGTTCCGCAGGAGGCCACGAGCTGGGCCAGGCTGGACCGAGTGAAGTGGGGGGGGGGCGGGGGCGGTGATGGGCTTGGTCGCTAGAGCTGCTCAGATAATCCAACGGCTGACGTGGTTGCCCTTGGCGTTCACAGTGGCTGGACGGAGGCATGAGCCCGCGGCTACGTGGTGGGGCCCGGTAGCACGCTGTGGGACGGGAGTGCGCGCCCACACATGGTGTGGCCCCGCGGTGACCGGAGCAGCCCGGGCCGCCAGCATGATGAAGTTGTTGGTGGCCAAAATCCTCTGCATGGTGGGCGTGTTCTCGTTCATGCTGCTGGGCTCCCTGCTGCCCGTGAAGATCATCCAGACGGACTGGGAGAAGGCCCGTCGCTCCAAAAAGATCCTCTCACTCTGCAACACCTGTGGAGGTGGGGTCTTTCTGGCCACGTGCTTCAATGCTCTCCTGCCGGCTGTGAGGGAGAAGGTAAGGGCTCCCTGGGGCCGCCGCAGCCTGCGGCACCTTATGATCCAGGGTCTCTGATGCGTTTTCAATGAGGCCACCGAGCTTGGTGATAGCTGTGACCGTGCAGGAGCGACCGGAAATGGATTTGCTGTGTGACCGTGAGTCAGTTGCTTCCCTTCTCTGGGCCTTACCTGGTAGACAGGGGGCCGGACCGAGACCTGGGCTTCCCAGCTGGGCGGCCCCCACCTTGCCCTGTAGCTGCCAGTCCGGGCCTCTCCTCCGGCACCTGCTGCGGCTTAACCAGCAGTAACAAATGTCACAGCTTAACGCGGCACGTGTTGGTTACGCTGCGGTTTCCCTGGGTCGGGGCTGGACACCGATTGGCTGGGCCCCCTGCTCCAGGCCCCCACCAGGCGGCATTCCAGGTCTCCAGGGGCGGGGGGGGACATCTCAGGGTTTGACGGGGACGGATCAGTGTCCAAGCTCACGTGGTGGTGGGCAAATTCAGTGCCTTCCCGCCTGTCAGATGAGGGCCTTGTTTCTCCGTGGCTGAGGGCTGCCTTCAGCCCCTTCCACGTGGGCCCCCAACATAGCCACTTGCTCCATCAGCAGGCGCCTGCACTTCTGACATGTTTCTCTTGTTTCCGCTGCCCACCTTGCGTTCCTCCATGACCCAGCGTGGGAGCTCACGCAGTCAGCATCCCTGGGGGTGGGATCTCAGAGTCCTCCCTCAGGCCGTCTGCACTGCCAGGGCCACCTCCAGCCCTGCTGCCCCCAACCCCCCTTTGCTGCGTCCTCATGCCGTCACCCGTCATCACACTTCTGCCTCAGGCCGGGGCTGCTGCGATGGCCTTGCTCCTCCCCAGCCCCTCCAGTGCGTGTGGCCTCCCATGGTCCTCTCCAAACCCCTCCAGGCTGCACCGCTGCCCACACGTGAGCCTGGGCGGGTCTGCTCCCTACCCCCGACCCCCCAGCCAGGCTCAGCCTACAGCTGCTGGCTTGGTCACCCCACAGATGGCAGCATCAAAAGCTGTGACCTCTGCGTGTCTGCCTTGTCTCTCTCGATGTGGCGATCTGATCTGACGGTCCCTCCAGGGGCGGGGGCCGTTAGTGTTTCTCACGGGCTGAGGTTCCCCGGGCGGAGCACCGGCAGGCCTCCGGAGATGCTTAGCAAATGAAGTAGTCTATCTACAAAACACAGCCTTCTGCAGCCGGGGTTCCTGTGCGGGCGTGACTCTGTGCCCCGAGACCTAGGACCCAAAGCGTGAGCATCACCCAGCTGTGAGTAAGCTGGAGGACGGGCGGCCCGTTCTGCAGCCCCCTGGGGGTGTGCACGCATCGTTAGGAGTGCAGGGAAATGAGCCCAGCCCAGAGGAGCCCACCTGCGGCCTTGCCGGACGGCACCCAGCGCTGCGCCGTACCGAGCGGCAGCCCCTCGCCTTTCCTGTCTGGTTGAGGTTCAGTGAAGTAAATGAGACATGAGTCTACATGCCGGTCCTTGGCCACGCGGCCATGTGTAAGGTCCCCCTGGGCCACATGTGGCCGGGGACTTCGGTATCAGACTGCGCTTCTGGTCAGCGCTGGCTGGCAGGGTCTCCCCGGTTGGGGGCACGCGCGGAGTTGTATTCACGCAGGAAGACCTGGGAAGCAGCCCGCCCGCTGTCCTGTGGCAGCAGACCCCACACAGGCCTCAGGGCTGCAGAGGCTGGGCGATGGCACAGTGAGGCAGTCTGTCCCACGCCATCTCCCTGCTTCTGAAGGGTTCTTGGCAATCCTTGGCGTCCCTTGACTTACAGGTACATGACCCCAGTCTCTGCCTCTGGGTCACCTGCCCGTCTCCCGAGTGTCTTTCTGTGTCCCCTCCTTTTTGTCTCATAAGGACACCGTTACTGGGATAAGATTCCATCCTAAGTCAGGATCCTCTGTCTCGTCTCCAGACCCTTAGCTTAGGTAGGATTTCCCCGGGGGCCGCCGCAGCGAAACACCTCAGACGTTTGCCCTCTGTCCCTGTGGAGGCCACAGGTCCGGGAGGCAGGTGCTGGCAGGCCTGGGTCCCTCTGAGGCCTGTCTCCTTGCCGCCTCTTCATGTGCTGCTCCGGCGAGGACTCCGGCCCTAGTGGGCTGCGGCCCACCCTAGCAGCCGCAGTCCACTGACTCGCCTCTTCAAGGACCCTCCCTCTAAGGAGGGTTGGCTCTGAAATTCCAGATGTTCAGACCTTGGAATATAGGAGTGTTTGATGGGGACACGGTTCAGCCCGTCGCACCTTCATTACACCTGCAGAGACCTTCCACGTCAGGTCACGTTCTGAGCTTCCGAGTGGGCGGGCCTTTAGGGACCGCGGGTCCGCGCGCTGCAGCGCGATTCATCATATATAGCTGATTGAACCCCCAAGCGCCCTCCGTAATGGAGTTTTGGTGTTTTTTTCCCCAACCCAGCAAGGGTAAGCCCACCTTCTCCAATTTTCTTAGCTTCTTGTGTGAAGCGGACATTTCTGTGCTGTGCTAAGTGAACAGTGGTAGCTCCCACACCCTGTTGCGTGGCGGCCGGAGGCCAGGCCGCCCACTCTGAACCCCTCTCTCCCTCCGTCCCCCTCTTGCGCATCTTCCGCTCCAGCTGCAGAAAGTCCTGAGTCTCGGGCACATCAGCACTGACTACCCACTGGCCGAGACCATCGTGATGCTGGGTTTCTTCATGACCGTCTTCCTGGAGCAGCTCGTCCTGACCTTCCGCAAGGAGAAGCCGTCCTTCATCGACCTGGAGACCTTCAACGCCGGCTCAGACGCTGGCAGTGACTCGGAGTACGAGAGCCCCTTCATGGGGGGTGCGCGGGGCCACGCGCTCTACGCAGAGCCCCACCCCCACGCGCACGGGCTGAGCGTCCAGGAGCTGTCGCGCTCCAGCCCGCTGCGGCTCCTGAGCCTGGTGTTTGCGCTGTCCGCGCACTCCGTCTTCGAGGGCCTGGCCCTGGGCCTGCAGGAGGACGGAGAGAAGGTGGTGAGCCTGTTCGTGGGGGTGGCCGTCCACGAGACGCTGGTGGCCGTGGCCCTGGGCATCAGCATGGCCAGGAGCGCCATGGCCCTGAGGGACGCGGCCAAGCTGGCTGTCACCGTCAGCGCCATGATCCCCCTGGGCATCGGCATCGGCCTGGGCATCGAGAGTGCCCAGGGGGTGCCCAGCCGCGTGGCCTCGGTGCTGCTGCAGGGCCTGGCGGGCGGCACCTTCCTCTTTGTCACCTTCTTCGAGATCCTGGCGAAGGAGCTGGAGGAGAAGAGCGACCGTCTGCTCAAAGTCCTCTTCCTGGTGCTGGGCTACGCCGTCCTGGCCGGCATGGTCTTCCTCAAGTGGTGAACGGCCTGTCGCCCGCCTGCCGGACGCAGGCACCCCCCGCCCCCCTCCCCCCAAGCAGGGGAGCGCAGGCCCCTGGCGGCCACCTGTGCCCAGAGGGGCCGCGCCCTGGATCCGACACCCTCAGCCTGGGGCACAGCGACTACTTTTAAAAATACTTCTCTTAAAATTATTTCACAAAGCTGTGTGGCTTTGTGTCATGCCTGTCATGCTCTGGCATCGAGATCCGAGGACTCTCGCAGGAGGCAGGGCCGCGCAGCTGGCTGGGCTTGGGCTGGGACCCTGCCCCCCACCCCCGACTCCTGCCTGTGGACAGGACAGGACCGCGGCTGCTCCGGGCCACCGAGCCCATCCAGAGGCTAGAGAATCCTGGCCTCCTCTCCCAGCTGACTCTGCCGCAGAGCGTCACACAGGGTCACACAGGGGAGCTCTAACTCCTGCCACTGAGCCAGTGCCTCCAGGGGCACGGGTGGGCTGCCAGGCACCTCAGCACTTCCCTCTTCTGCTGTGCCCCCCCCCCACACACACACACTTGGGGGACCCGAGAGATGCGCAGGCGGGGGTCCAGGGGCAGCTGGGCCATTGGTTCTCAGCCCGCCATCCCCAGGGCTGTGGGGCAGGGGCCACACGCTGTGAGTCACCCACCTGTCCTGTCCCCCCCACTGCGGACACACCGATGATGCCAGAAGCTGTCTCAGGGGTGCGGGAGCACAGGGCGCATGTGGCGCTGGCCCCAACCCTGCGCACTGGCTCCCTGGTAACCTGTTCAACTCACCCGTTGTCTCAGCAACACCCACGCAGGCATCCAGGGATGGGAGGCTGGGTGGAAAGCCTTTCCCGGGGGATTTTGCCATCAGGAGTGCTCCAGGGGGAGTGTGGGCTGGTGGCCTGGGCTGGGCTGTGGCAGCCGCAGCCTCTCGAGCTCCGTCAGGGACGCTCGGCCATATGGCGGCAGGCACGAGGGCCCGGGTGCACGCGCCTTCCCAGTGCCCTGAGTCCCCTTCCTCTGCCTCACCCCGGGTCTGCAGGGTCCCCCAAGCACAGGCCCCTTCTGATCCGGGCCCTGGGCTTCGTGGGGCTTCTGGTCCCTGGCTCCAGCCCTGTGGGCACCCCTGGGGGCTGCTGCTGGTGCTCAGCCCCTCCCAGCACAAGCAACCAACCTTTGCCAGCTCCCCGGCTTTGTCCAGTTCTGTTACAAGAGGCCCTGGCGGGGGGGAATGTGTCTGAGGGTCTGTCGCTGCAGAACTCTCAGGCCTGTTGCCGGAAACTTCCGTCTGGCTTGTCCTGGGGACCCATCTCCAAACCCCACATGGCCTGACCCTGTCCCCGTGCTGGGATAGCGACCTGCATGGGTGTGGGGACATTATCATTTCCATTGTGTCCTAAAGCCAGTGGCGTCAGCCTTGGCCTGCCCCTGCTTCACTCCACCCAGGAAGGGGAAGTTTCTACCCACTCAGCCTCTTCCCTGACTGGGCAGGTCACCGTGGGGCCACCAGGTTGTGAGCCTGCCTTCATCTGGGCCAGGGTCGTCTCTGCTCCTGGGACCCCTGCTCCAAACTCCCTGCCGCTTCCAAAAGCACACGCACCACAGGGCCCCTCCCCTCCTGCCGGCCATCAGCAGCCTGGGGATCTGGCCCTGGGGACACCCCAGCTGGACCACCTCCTGTCGCCCCCCACTGATGTCTCCAAGGCCCTGTCCCCCTCACACTGAGCACACTTCCTGACCAGTGGGCCCGGGAAGGGCAGCACCACACCAGCAAGGAGCCTTGGGTCATAGGAAGACCCGGGGTTCCCTTTGCGGGCCCCTCAGACGTCACCACCTCAGATTCTCTCCGTCTGCTGGGCCGTGGTTGCTCCCGGCTGACGTGCTCTCCCTAGGGTCCCGCCGGCTCCAGCAAGCTGTTTCCAGGCCCCTGGAGGACGCTGGGACCCCGAGAGGTTTGAGGGGGCTGTGTTGGAGAAGAAGATGCAGGCTGCCGCAGCAGGCCCCCAGGCCCCTCCTGGCTACCCCTCCTGTCTTCTGTGGCCAGCGGAGCAAGGGTCAGCCCTGGGACCTGCTTCCAGAAGCTGCCACAGTTGGCCAGCAGTGGGGGTGACAGTGTCTTGGTTCTGGTCAGTTTTCCCCACATTGGGTGCAGATCAGACCATCTCTGCTCTGAGCCAAGAAGAGTGGCTGTTTTGCCCTCCAACTGAAGCCCAGGGGAGCAGCGCCCACTCCTGAGGTTTCCTGGGCTCTAGTGGCCAAGTCCAGCCTAGACAAGGCTCTTCTGAGGCTTGCGCTGGGCTCCATCCCCGCCCCCTCGCCCACCCCCACCATCCCGGACGCAGGAGCACTGCCATGTGTCAGGAGCAGGTCTCCCGTGGCTACGACTACAGGCTGATCATCAGCTGGCCCCAGACCAGCCCCTGCACAAAACGACAGGAGTCACCAAAGGCCGTCCATGTGCAACCTGGTGACATTGAAGAAATGCCATGTGGCCTGCTGCTGCAGAGGTCCCTGTCTTTTGGGGGTCTAATCACTCCGCGGTTCCCAGTAGGGGGGAATCCCCCAGGGTGCTCCAGGTGGTGTCTGAGGATGGCCGTGGTGGTCACACTGGGGTGTCACTGCTCTGATTCACGGGAAGTGACAGTGGTTTCCATGCAGAGCCGCTTGGCGCTGAGATCCTGTGTGCGTGTTGGAGAGAGAGGAGGGGGGTGGACGCCTGCTGATGGATAGTCAATGCAAGGGCCGGAGCTGCAGCCAGAAGTGAGGGCGCCCACCGAGCGCTCAAAGCCAAACCCTCCACACAACACCGAGCAACAGCTCTGCCAGCATGGACGTGGCGGGGTCAAGGCCATCCGCACCCATCCACTCAGCCTAGCTTCTCCCCTCCCCCACAGGGAGGGGTCCTGGGCAGGCAGGAGGAGGGTTGCTGGGCTGGGGACACCGTTGAGAGCTCTGCCAGGAGGAGAGTTACCCCGGGACTGTCTCCCGTCATCAGCCAAGGCCACCGGAGCGTCTTCCTGCACCAGGAGGTCGCTGGCCCGGGCCTCAGCCCTCCCAGGTCTGCTCTGCATGGGGGCTCAGGGCACGGGCAACAGCTGGATGGAGTCAGCCACATTCCCCTCCTTGATCTGGAGACAAAGAGGGGGAAATTACGAGGCGGCACCCAGGCCTCGTGGATTGAATCAACCTTAATAACAGTGTGTCGGGGTTTCTGTTGTCTGCTGTTTGCATCTCTGGTGCACAAGTTATTAGCGTGGGGCGGGGAGGCGGTGCGCCGGTTCCCCGCCTGTCTGCATCTCCAGCCCCCAGCAGCAGGCAGGGGAGGGGATGGTGTGGTGTCTCCCAGCCCACGGTGGGATCAGACCTGCTCTGGCCACCAGCTCTGGGCCTGCCAGGAAAAGAGGCAGGCATCCCACCTGTCCCAGCCTGTGCCCACCCTTGGGGGAAAAGCCAGTGACCAGCCCATCTGACCTTCCCAGAGCCGGAGCTGCTCTCTGGGTCATCAGGATACGCTCCGTGCCACCCTGAAGGCCTCTGTGGCTCCCAGGGCATGAGCAGCAGGCCTGGCTGGCTGCCGTGCTCCGATGGAGGGCTGAGGCCATTGGTGTGAGCCCAGCCTGGCTGCCGAGAACCTGCTGGGCAGGTGGGCAGTTCCGAGCCCCTGCTTCCTTCGTACGGGGCAGGCCTGGCCAACAGACTGCCTTTAGACCGAAGTAAACAGCCGCCACAGTTGGCAGGCGCCTCCCTGCAGGGACCAGCTGGGCCTCGATCTGAGCACAGTCAGGCCCGCACCGCGGCTGACAAGCTAGAACAGGGTCTCCATCTCAGCACCATAGACATTTTGGGCTGTCTCTCCGGGTGCAGGCTGGGAGCCGCATTCTGGCTGGGGGCGGGGCTGCAGGCTCTGCATTGCCACCCAGCCCCCAAGCGGTGCTGGTGCTGCTGGTCTGGGGACACGTTTGAGATCCACTGCCCGGCTCCAAGTCTCTCCTCCCAGCACCACCGACACCAGACTGTCCCAGGCACGGTGCCGGTGGGGAGGGGGTTGGGGGAGGTGAGTGGCATCCCTGGACCCCGCCCACAGGATGCCAGGAGCACCCCAGTTGTGGCCACCACAAGTATCCACTGACAAACGTCCCGGAGTCACCCAAGGGTGAGGCCCACTGACCTAAGATGCATGGCAGTTCGCCTGGTGACGGGGGAGAGACAACCTGTCAGTGTGAAATGCGGTGTCAGCCGGCAGTAAGTGCCCCAAAGACAGAAGCAGCAGAGCGAAGGGACAGAGCCAAGGAAAATGCAAACGATTTTTCCAACGTGGTCCGGGAGGAAATCCCTGGGGACCACACGAGTCCCACGAAGACGGGGAAAGAGCTTTTCTAGTGGGGCAGGGGTGGGGGCAGCCGGTGCAAAGGCCATGGCCCTTTTTTCCCTGACTGCTCACCATCATAGGGCTTTCTCCTGCCCTCGGTGAAGACTTCAGTGAGCCCCTGCTCGAGAGGCAGTGGTAACAGCCGCACCTCGTACTTTGGGACGAAACCCAGGCTGCCTCCATTTGGCTCAGCAGGTGGCCTCAGCGAAGGGCCCACGTCTTTCCCCCCCGGGCTGGGGGCTGGCTCCTGCAGAGGCCGGCCGGCAAACTTCAGGCTTGGGAATGCCAGCCTATTCATTTTCCCAGGCAAACTGGGTTTGGACAAATGATTTTCTTATTTTCAAATGTTGGAGCCAAACTTAAAAACAAAATGGACCGCATCTCCTAGAGACGGTGACACTTGGCCTCTGCTTTGCCCGAATGGTCGCATTAATCCTGGGAGCACGGAGAGTGAGCAGAGAATGCAACCCAGCCATCTTCCTACCCCAACAGCACCTCTGGGAGTGTGTGTGGGGTGGGGGGCGGGGGTAAGCAAGGCCAGTGTGGCTCCCCCATCCCAGAGCTTTGGAGCAGGGAGAAGTCCATAGGCTGCCAGGCCAGGTGAAGAGTGGGACTTTGCCCACAAACAGTTGTCACCCTCCCTTGTAGCGGAGGTGACTTCTGCAGGACAGGGAGAGTCACCCAGGGGTAGGCAGAAGGCTGGGTGGTGGCTTCAGAGCCCCATGGCCCTGAGTTCCAGCCCCAACGAGCTACAGGCAAGGGTCACCTGCTATCCCAGTTTGGGGTGCTCTAGTGGGGGCTTAGGCCCCTGGACAGAGCACAGAGGGGACTCAGGCCTGTCCTCCTCCAGCTCACAAGGCCAAGAGCCTGGCCCAGGAGCTATAAATAGCAGCCGCAGAGTGGAGCTGCTGCCTGTGCCCACGCTCCTACGCATGAGTCAGCCTGGCCTGGCCTGGGCAGGCGCCCAGAGGAGCTGGAGAGCTGGCCAGAGGCTGGGGGCCCGGCCCAAGTGCAGTCCGGTCACTCAGACCAAGGCAGGCAGGCCGCTGGAATGGGAGGGAGTGGGGCTGTTGCCTCAGGGCACCTGCGTGCCTGGCAGCCCCTCGAAGATGGACGTCACCCTGATTGCTCCCTGCAACCCAAAAGGTGAGGCGACATTCACAGATGGGGAAACTGAGGCTCAGAAGGGCACTTGGCTGGGACATGGCAACCCAGACCAGAAGTTATTATCTATTGATTGAGCTGTCTCCGTGTCAGGTTGAGGGCACCCCAAGATGAGGGGCTGGGGCCAGACAGTCCTCTGAGGCGCCCCCATGGAGCCAGTGACAGGACAGAGCAGGAGGGACGTGTGCCCAGGGAATAGTTCCAAGCAGCCTGCAGGGACCAGGAGGAGAGCTCAGGTGAGAAGCTGGATTTGACCCAGGGGGCAAAGGGAGCCAAGGCAGCATTAGAGCTCAGGAGGCTGGTGGTAGAGGCTGGGCACTGGATGCTGGGGGGAAGGAGGGCTGGAGGAGCGATCCTGGGGGACCAGGAAGGAGGGGCTGTCTAGGTGGGAGGGGCCTGTGGGTGAAGTGCAGGGCTGGGTCCTGGAGAAATGGGGACCACCAAGCCCCAGAAACAGGGCTAAGCTCAGGGCCCAGCTCCGTGGGAGGCAGATGGTCTTGGGGGGCAATGCCCGTGTTTCTAAGGGAACAGGAAGCGGCCACCTCAGTCAGAGACATGGAGATGGTGGGCCAATGAGAATCGAGACACTAAGGGCTGACCATCTGCTCACACATGACGGGGAGCTCACCACCTAACAAAGACCGTTTATCCTCTGATTGCTCTGACTCCAGAAAGTCCCTTCTTGCAGGACATTAGCGTCAGCCTACCCCCATCAAGGAGCATCTTATTCCAACAGGCTTTCGGGAGCCTGGGGCTGTCTTATGCCCACCCCTAATCTCACTGATGTGCCAAAAGTCCAGTCTCCTCCGAGATGAACCTCTGCCTCCCTCTAGTTCTTCAGGAGGGAGTGATGGTATCTTGTAGCCTTAAACGTGGGCACGCAGACACTTCAAACAGGCACTTCCCAAAGGCAAACATCCATTCTCAGAGACAACTCCTATTGGGGAAGATAGATATTTTCCTACCCCAAACCCCAAACCCAGCCCCCCCCCCCCCCCCCCCCCCCCCCCCCCCCCCCCCC